TCCGCACGTCGCTGCACAAGCTGTGATGGCAGCCAAGATCGCCTGTTTGCGCATATACACCAGGCTCCCTATGTTCACAGGTTTGTCTCACTGGTCGTGATCGAATTAAACAAAGAATACCAGCAAATGTTTCTCAAGACACTGATTAGGAAATAGCAAACGATAGATTTCTCACTTAATCGGCAATCTCGTCCTTTGGCTTCGACAAGGTGAACTGTTATCTTCCTAATTTCTGAGCACGGAAAAAAGAGCCTTACACCCAATACCCGATCGATACGATGACTGCCGACTTACCCACTGATGGTTCTTTCCTCACTGACAGTTTACTTCTAACCTCTCTTTGCTGATATAGATACTAGCTGGGTTAACACTATCCGTCCACTGGTAATCCGGAAAAGCAGATCACCCATTTAGCATTTAGGTGGTCAGTTATTCAAAGGACTCTACTTTTATGATTATCTAAAGTTACTAACAAAATTTTATGTTTGCCAATTCAAAGGCGGACTGGAGACAGGAATGCTGAAAAATCCTGCTTATTAAATTAACTCAAAGATGAACTGGAAACGAGATTCCTAAGAACCCTGGTCATTAAATGGAATTAAAAAGAAAAGAATCTATTTATCTCCTAAGGATGCGTCATAAATCGTATTGCTACAGAGTACAGCTGCAAGATATGGGGTGTAGCTGGCCAGTTCTCACATTTCAGCTTCAAAAGCTTTTGCACGTCTTATGGGTGTTGAGTTATTCTCCACTCTACAACCCCTTTCCTACAGATGAAACATTGCTAGCCTTTTGCTACACTATCGCTATTTTCACGCCAGATATCCGGGCGAACAACACTGCTTCGTTCCATCAGTCCAGACTTATTACAACTGGGACCCGCCAGTCCACGTACACTGAACCGAATCATCCTCATTTCATTTATATTGCTTTGGTAAAGAGAAAATTTCACTAAGACTACTTCTACACCAGCAATGTAGAATTGGGTGACAGGCTCCCGAGAAAATACTTCCCGTCTCACTAGTATCTTAAACCTTTTCAAGTCGAGGGTAAATAGTTATCTATCCTACATATCCTCATAATACCCACACGTATCCCCTTAAAATAAGCCAAATAAGCAAAATGTTGTATAGACCCCTCGTTCTTGAGGGGGGGGATCTCTTAGTTGACGGTCTTAACGCGACCATAATGAAATTGTCTTCCTCTCTTTATTCTCTCGGCCGGGTGATCGCTAGTTGTTTTTTTTTTTTTTTTTTTTTTTTCGGGGGTGAAATGAGAATTTCAACAAAAGGGATTTAAAACTTATCTATTTTATTAAACACGTCGACATGTAGATTTTTAAGTAGCCAGTGGGATCACTCTGTCACCACCCCCCACTAGGGAACAAGTTCCGCGAGACACGAAATAACCACGCCTACTGTGTATGACGTGTAAAAACTTAACTCCCTGAAATCACTTTCTATCTCTCTAGCATTCCCACTTTCGACTCAGCCAGTGAAAATCGACATACTTATTTACTCTACCATCTGACCATAAAGGTCAGCCCCAGAACACATCTTAAGTCGCTCTTGGACCATGTATTGGAGGAACAATAAGAAAAAGGGCTTCACCAAAAACAGAAACCGTCTTATTTGACCAATTCCAATAGAAGCAATATATATATATATATATTAAGAAATGGACAAGGTCCGACAATTTATTTATTAAAGACATTTTTTATGTTTAACGTTGTTATTTTATAGATACAAGTATTTAAGCAAATGCTCTGTTTATGATAAACAGTATTAAATAACATTTACCGGCCTGAATGTCCGAGAAATTTTCATAGAAAATATTCGTTCTGCATTATTATTTATTATTTAAAATAACAACGTTAAACATAAAAAATGTCTTTAATAAATAAATTGTCGGGCCTTGTCCATTTCTTAATATATGACGTCATTTGTTTACATTCGATACGCCAGAGCAGTTATGAATGTACGAGATTCATGGAAGATGGAGTTTATAAGCAGTAAATTCGACCTTGTCTACCGAACGGTTATTTGTAGCCTAGAGGTAAGGCACGTCAGTGTATATGACGGTTCCGTATAGGATGCAGGTTCGAATCCTGTCAAAGAACGAAAATTTTCTATGAAAATTTCTCGGACATTCAGGCCGGTAAATGTTATTTAATACTGTTTATCATCAACAGAGCATTAAATACTTGTATCTATAAAATGACAACGTTAAACATAAAAAATGTCTTTAATATATATATATATATATATATATATATATAAGCAAATATATGGAATATAGATCCGACAGTATGAAGAAAAATATACAGAAAAAACAAACAAAAATCTTAAGATGCAATTATGCTGTATTAATGTTAATATAAAGTCAACGTCGGGCGTTTCGGCCTATTTAAGACCATCATCAGGACTTATTTATAAAACATAATTAACATTAGAACATATAAAATTTATATTAGTTCAATCGAATTTGTTTAATTGTTTAATATTTTGAAATCATCTTCGAATACGTTTTCACAACATCGCCCACGTGACGACGACGTGATCATATTTAAACGGAACGCTGATCTTATATAAAAATTTCAGTTATCTGTTTGGATTAGTTGTGCTCTTATGTCCATCGTCTTTTCATGTTGAATTTTATATGTTCTAATGTTAATTATTTCTGCATATATATATATATATATATATATATAAATAAAGAAATATAGTTTTAATGTGTGCTATATGTATGGGATAAAGCTCAATATCAGAGATAGAGCGTATGTAAACATAAATATAAAAATGAGTATTGAAGTCAACACTCAGAGGCGACAGGCTGTTTCATGCTAGCCTTTGTTGACTTCAATGTTCACTCATATATATATATATATATATATATATATATATATATATACTCCAGGTGTGGCAGGTAAATTCTACCACGGACGTCTATTTTTAATTAAATATTTGTTTTATGCTGGTTTCCTATTCAACAGCTGAACGCACACTGGTGGTAGGATTATCAGTTTTTTTTTTGTCGGGCAAATGTCCTCTCAAAGATATGGATCTACAGAAGGATGCTAAAGATGTCATGGACCGAGCGTATAAGCAACGATGGGGTTTTGGATGGGATGCAAACAAGAAGGAAGCTTATACTCAGCATCAGGAAGAGGCAGATGAAACACGTAATGAGGAAGGAAGGTTTGAAGAATCTGATGCTCACAGGTCCAATAGAGGGAAAGAGAGACAAGAGAAAGCAATACCTGACATACCTGGCGAGCTTAAGTAAATGGATGACAGAACATGATCTGGGGTATGTGGCAGAGAGCAGAAAGTTATGGAGAGCTACAAGGGATAAAGGGAAATAGAGAGCCATGATTGCCTACGTCCTGAAGGGACACGGCACATAAAAAGTAGTTGGGCATAAATTGCAGCCGTTACCAGCTCCTTTATATGGTTATTGTTTGGCCAGTACTTTCCAGGTTGTGGGGAAAATAGAAATGGCTTTTCTTCCAAACGACCTCGTGTCTGTCTGGCCTGTGGGTTGAGAAAAGAAAGAAAGGGCCCAAGATGGCGTCCGTGACTTTGTAATATTCACGGTCTCGTGCAGTCTCGCAAGGTCGCGTTACACGCATGCTAATGAGGTGTGTCTTGGCTCCATAAAAGCAAGTCGCTTGGAGAAATTGGCAGAAGCCATTACACCCGTGTTCGGTGTACGTTGCTTTGCGTTGCGTCGTGTCAGACATTTTCCTACGAAAAGAGTTGCGTCCCTTACACTCCATATTGAATTTGACTCCTTTGCTACACAGGTGATGGTAGCCGCCACCTTTCAACTGTCATTGACGTTCCAATATTAGTTAGGAAAATATTTATGTGTGTGCGTGTGTGTTTTACCTTAGTAAAAGCAATGAACACAACCTGTTATGAAGATAATACCTAGAAAGAATATTAACCCTTTAAGCCCTACGTTCCTGAACAATTTTAACCCTTCTGCCTGAGCTCCTGTGTCAAAATTCGTAAATAATTTTTATGTAATGTTTCACAGTAGATATAATAATAGTTACAAGTGTTTACCCACCGTTCAACCGGTAGCTGGGCATTAAGTCATTTTTCTCTACCACTGTTCAACCGGTGGCTAGGACTTACGTTATTTTTCCCTACCACCGGTAAAGCGGTGGTCAGGGCTCAAAGGACTAATGGACTATAAATGGAATGTGGATGATCTGTTCGACTGTAGAAGGTATCTTAGATGTGAAGGTCTGAACTGGTGCAACTAACTAACGCAGCTCGTTCGAACGTTTCTGGAGGAAATAAGGCTAAAGTACCGATGCTGTTCAAACCCTAACTTCAGGCAGCACCGAAGAATAGACAACTATTTAAGATTCCACAGCAGGCCACTATCTTCTCTGTCTTTTAACCCTTTGAGCCCTGTGTTTCTAAACAATTTTAAACCTTTCTGCCTGAGCTCCTGAGTCAAAATTCGCAAATAATTGGTATAAAATGTTCCACGGTAGATATAAAAATAGTTACAAGTGTTTACCCACCGTTCAACCGGTGGCTGGGCATTAAGTCATTTTTCTCTATCAAAGGGTTAATAAATTAGCAACATACAATAAATACTCACCAAACACATTTCTTTATATCCCATATTTGCATAAACCCGAAGAATGCAAAATGCAAACATTTGTAGATGAAGCAACCTGGTATTACACATTCATTTGCAGCATTTGTCATATACATCCATCAATTTAAATGCATTAATGTAAGTCATTTTTAATACACACTTAGGTCAGGCTAACACTTCAAGAATGAATATGAAGACGCCATAAGATATACACGTGACGACATCACAACCAATGAAAACAAAACAACATAGAATTTGAAGACAGGAAATATAACCCCGAATCACTTCCCAAAATGTCTAATGAAACTAAATTAAAAAGCGAAACATCATGAAATTTATAAAGATTTTCCGACATATTCTTTATTGAATCATGATCTTAGTTATCAGCGGACATGGAATTGTATAAGCTACATTTTTCTTTCTTTCATTCTTTCTTTCTTTCTTTCTTTCATTCTTTCTTTCTTTCTTTCTTTCTTTCTTTTTTTTATCTTTTTTCTCTGTTGTAACTAACTTCTGTTTTTTCTTACTATCTTTCTTTCTTTCTTCCATTCTCTTTCTTTTTCTCTGTTTTTAGTAAGCTTCTTTCTTACATTGTTTTTCGTTTTTTTCTTTGTTGATACAAAGCTTCTTTCTTTATTTCTTTTTCTTTTTACGATTTTTCTTTTTCTTTCTTTTTTCTTTTTTTTGTTGTTATTAAACTTCTTTCTTTGTTTTCTTGTCCCTATTATTATTTTATTTTTTATTTTTTATCTGTACTAGGCTTGTTTCTTTGTTTCTTTCTTTTTTTTCTATCTTTATTTTTCTTTCTTCTTTGTTGTTATTAAACATTCTTTCTTTCTTTCTTTCTTTCTTTCTTTCTTTCTTTCTTTCTTTCTTTCTTCCTTGTCCCTATCTTTGTTTTCTTTTTTCTTTGATGTTACAAAGTTAATTTCTTTATTTCTATTTTTTTTCTTCTTAAGATCTTTCTTTTCCGATTTTCTTTGTTTTTACTAAAATTCTTTTTTTCTTTCTTTTCTTGTCACTATCTTTATTTTATTCTATGTTTCCTTTATCGGTACTAAGCTTACATTTTCCATTTTCTGTTTTTTCCCCTGTTGCTTCGGAAAACATCTTCGGAAGATTCCACTGATATATAAAGTAAAAGTCCTCATATCCGAACTTCAGAGTAGTTTGGATATAAGGTCAGGTCCGGATATAAGGTCAGGTCCGGATATAAGGACAGGTGGGGATATAAGGTCAGGTCCGGATATAAGGTCAGGTTCGGATATAAGGTCAGGTTGGGATATAAGGTCAGGTCAGGTTGGGATATATGGTCAGGTTGGGATATAAGGTCAGGTCCGGATATAAGAACAGGTTGGGATATAAGGTCAGGTTGGGATATAAGGTCAGGTTGGGATATATGGTCAGGTCCGAATATAAGGTCAGGTCCGGATATAAGAACAGGTTGGGATATAAGGTCAGGTTGGGATATAAGGTCAGGTTGGGATATAATGTCAGGTCCGGATATAAGAACAGGTTGGAATATAAGGTCAGGTTCGGATATAAGGTCAGGTTGGGATATAAGGTCAGGTCCGGATATAAGGTCAGGTTGGGATATAAGGACAGGTTGGGATATAAGTTCAGGTTCGGATATAAGGTCAGGTCCGGATATAAGGTCAGGTCCGGATATAAGGACAGGTTGGGATATAAGGACAGGTTGGGATATAAGGTCAGGTTGCGATATAAAGTCAGGTCAGGTTCGTATATAAGGTCAGGTCCGGATATAAGGTCAGGTTCGGATATAAGGACAGATCCGAACATAAGGACAGGTTCGGATATAAGGTCAGGTTCGGATATAAGGTCAGGTCAGGTCCGGATATAAGGACAGGTTCGGATATAAGATCAGGTTCGGATATAAGGTCAGGTTCGGATATAAGATCAGGTCCGGACATAGGACATGTTCGGATAGAATGTCAGGTCCGGATAAAGGGTCAGGTTGGGATATAAGGACAGGTTCGGATATAAGGTCAGGTCCGGATATAAGGTCAGGTTCGGATATAAGGTCAGGTCCGGATATAAGGACAGGTTCGGATATAAGGTCAGGTCCATATATAATGTAGCTTGTCTAATATAATTATAACTTAACAAAACACGAGTACGTATCACAGTATATGAAAAATTAAGTTTCTCAAAGTAAATATTAATTTACGATGTTTTAAAAAAATCGTCAGAAACATACTTAGGACGTGTAAATAAATCTTATTCTGTTTCTCTGGCAACGATTGAGGATTTATTATTATTATTATTATTATTATTATTATTATTATGTTAGATAGAAGAAGACGGAAAAAGTGAGGAAATATATTTTGTTTTGTATTTTTTCCCATTGTCTTATTTCATTGAAACGCGAAGTCGCCATACTCAATTGTTGGGGAGGGGACAATGATAAAGTTGGATGACAGAACTTGGTCTGGGGGAGGAAGCAGAGAGAAGGAACTTGTTGAGAGCTGCAAAGGGATAGAGGGGGAGGTGGAGATTGCCAACGTCCTGAAAGGAAATGGCACATAAAAAAGAAAGAATACTCAATAAGTGTTTTTTTTTTTAATTTCTTTTCTAATTTCGTTTACTTTTGGCTGTTCTAGATTTTTCTCTTTTTTTATAGTAAGGCCTTTCCGCAAATTACGTATTATGTATGACTGAACAAAGATTTTTTTTCTCCAAGAAAATTGATGACCTTATTAATAGCTATCACTACTGAGTCCCAATCTTCTTCATCATTCTTCATATTTTCACCATTATGTGAAGAATTTGATTCTTACTCTATTTCTTGACGATCCAAATCGTTTTGAAGCGATTCTACCATTGAATTCTTTTGTAATTCATTAGCGTCTTCATTTATCCATTCTTTTAAGTCATCCAAAGTGGGGACATTTAGTGGATCAGATCACAACTGAAAATATTACTCAGAGATGTCCGATATGTTCCCCTACATCATTGCCCGAAAAAGGGAGAAAATTGATTGCAATAACTATATCAGGCACAATCGAGCTGTGGATGGGCCGGGCTATTTTGGGACTTGGCCCGTATGCCGGCTCGTCGGGTCCCCCACATTAAACTGACCCTGTGTCACATCCTGCCAGCTTGGCGCAGCAAGATAGGACAATCGCTAACAAATACTACACATGGATCTTAGTAAAAAGTCCGAGAAGCGAGTGTGGCTTCTCTCTGTCTTTTCTACAAATATTTTTTCCGACTAATTTAAGCGTGCTGCTAGATTGGCATATAGGTCCCACTTGTTTACTGTTGAAATAGCTAAATATCAACCATCACTTCTCCTTCAATAATTTCTTTTCTCGCACTTCCCGCCTGTGAACTCCCTTCAGTTTACTTGTTTCCCATATAACTACAATCTTCAAAACTTTAAATGCAACATCAACCGCCATCTTCTGTCGTCTTGAATCCCGTTCATCTTTTTGTCTTATCTTCTCTATACTTTTATCCCATTTTAAATCCCTGTAGCCCCCGTCCCTTGTATACTAGTGGCATTTCTGTATCGTTTGCCGATGAAAAGAATGATGAAAAGAATAAAATTAAAAGAAAGTACGCGTTAACAGATTATGTACAAATGACACGTCTCTTTTTTTTTCTTAGCAAAATCTGAAGCCATTTTAAACGCTGGGCTTCTGAAACTTATTTTCAATGTAGGCCGTCTCCACTTGGAACGATTTCGTATATCAATCGCTATTCAGACAATATATCTACATTTGGCCATTTGCTGTAGAAAACCAAGTCTAATCAATATCATGACGATGTGTCGTCTGTTTTCATTGAATGGCGATACGAACGGGGGAAATATCAAATCTTATATAGCATCATTTTGATTTATTCCAATTCTATTTTTATATTTCGTTGCTTTAGGAAATTTCGCTTCCGGTAAGAACTTTTTCGTTAAATGTAAGCCTCATAGAGCGAGTGGATTAAATCCTACGGTTCAAAGGTCATACTGCAATTATGAAGAGCAGGGTCCGGATCGGATGTAACCAATATACACAAGTGACCTTTACGCGAAATCGTTGGAAGAGAAAACGAGGGAACGGAGATGACTGGACAGGTAAGAAATGATAAATGAACCCATGGTGAATTGGCGGGTCAAGGTCTGTGTGCTGGCTTCGGGGTAATAAATCAGGAGTTGTCGGTCGTTCGGCGAGCGAACAGAGTGTGACCTAATAAGAATAAGAATATAAGGCGCTTTTAAAATTGTTAATCCTTAACGTTGGCTTTTGTGCTTTGGCTGCTTATTAAAGATGAAGGTTGGAATCAGGAGAAATCATGTAATTGTAAATTCAAAATAACGAAATGGAGAACTGACTGGGGAATTTCAAGATAACGAAATAAAAGAGATCCTACAAGTTGCAACGGAAAATAATAATAATAATAATAATAATAATAATAATAATAATAATAATGATGATGGGAAGAAGAAGATGATGGTGAAAAGGATGGAGAAGTAGAAAATGAAGAAGATGAGGATAAAGAAGAAGGAAAAGGCAGAGGGAATAATAATAATAATAATAATAATAATAATAATAATAATAATAATAATAATGGTGGGAAGAAGAAGATGATGGTGAATAAAGGATGGAGAGGGAAAAGGCAGAGGGAATAATAATAATAATAATAAAATAATAAAAATGAAGAAGATGGAGGATAAATGAGGATAAAGAAGGAAAAGGCAGAGGGAATAATAATAATAATAATAATAATAATAATAATAATAATAATGGGAATGGGAAGAAGATGATGATGGTGAATAGGATGGAAGTAGAAAATGAAGAAGATGAGGATAAAGAAGAAGGAAAAGGCAGAGGGAATAATAATAATAATAATAATAATAATAATAATAATGAATGATGATGAAAATGAAGAAGATGAGGATGGGAAGAAGAAGATGATGGTGAAAAGGATTGAGAAGGAGAACTTTGTCTAAACGCTAACAACTTCAAGATGAGGATAAAGAAGAAGGAAAAGGCAGAGGGGAATAATAATAATAATAATAATAATAATAATGGGAAGAAGAAGATGATGGTGAAAAGGATGGAGAAGTAGAAAATGAAGAAGATGAGGATAAAGAAGAAGGAAAAGGCAGAGGGAATAATAATAATAATAATAATAATAATAATAATAATAATAATAATAATGGGAAGAAGAAGATGATGGTGAAAAGGATGGAGAAGTAGAAAATGAAGAAGATGAGGATAAAAGAAGAAAAAGGAAAAATAAGAGGGGAATAATAATAATAATAATAATAATGGGGAAGAAGAAGATAGGATGGTGAAAATATGAGGATGGAAAAGGAAGGAATAATAATAATAATAATAATAATAATAATAATAATAATAATAATAATAATAACACATTATTGAAAATGAAGACAAGATGAGGATAACTTTGAAGCAACTTCAAGATAAAAAAAAAAATAAAAAAAAAAATTAACATGAAATGTGGCCATAACAAAAACGACCTGCCTTAGGCAGAGTGTGAATAATAATAATAATAATAATAATAATAATAATAATAATAATAATAATGGGGAAGAAGAAGAATAGGATGGTAGAAAAGAAAAGAAGATGAGGATAAAGAAGAGGAAAAGAAGCAAGATGAATAATAAAATAATAGGAAATAATAATAATAATAATAATAATAATAATAATAACAACAACAACAATGAATAGGATGGAGAAAGTAGAAAAAATGAGGATAAAGAAGAAGGGAAAATAACAGGAATAACAACAACAACAACAGCAACAATTACAACAAAAACAATAACAACAACAACAACAATAATAATAATAATAATAACAACAACAACAACAATAATAATAATAATAACCGTCCTGGGTATGACGATAAACTACGTCCAGTAGCAAGGCCTCTGATCAGGAGGTTTTGAAGAGCGTGGAACTACCTCTTAACCCTCAAACTGGGGTGAAAACACTATGAATGTATATAAAGAAAGATTTTTATAGTAAAAATACCAGAAATATATTTTTGAAAAAATATTACCAGAAATTTGCCTCTGCAA